ATGAATTAGGCCTAGAATGATGTGTGCTGAGTTTCATTAAAATTGGTTCAGATTTAGATATAGCTCCCATATATAGTTTTGTCCGATTTTATGTAAATGGTGCACCAAAGTCCCTATATATCTTTCGATGTGCACGAAATTTGGCACAGCGTAATGAATTAGGCCTAAAATGATGTGTGCTGAGTTTCATGAAAATCGGTTCAGATTTAGATATAGCTCCCATATATAGATTCGTCCGATTTCATGTAAATGGTGCCCCAAAGTCCCTATATATCTTTCGATTTGCACGAAATTTTGCATAACGTATTGAATTAAGACTAGAGTGATGTCTGCCAAGTTTCGAGAAAATCGGTCCAGATTTAGATATAGCTCCCATATATAGTTTCGTCCGATTTCATATAAATGGTGCACCAAAGTCCCTATATATCCTCCGATTTGCACGAAATTTGGCATAACGTATTGAATTGAGCCTAGAATGATGTCTGCCAAGTTTCGAGAAAATCGGTCCAGATTTAGATATAGCTTCCATATATAGTTTCGTCCGATTTCATATAAATGGTGCACCAAAGTCGCTATATATCTTTCGATTTGCACGATATTTGGCATAACGTATTGAATTGAGCATAGAGTGATGTCTGTCTGCCTTGTTTCGTGAAAATCGGTCCAGATTTAGATATAGCTCCCTTTTATTATAGATTGATTTTAAGTAATTGACGCACCAAGGAACCAATAGGCTGATCGGAACAAAACGTTCTGAAATTACTGTAACCTAACCTGTGACATGTTTGTTTGAAATCGCTTAATATTTGGATAGAGCATCCATATATATTTTCGTCCGATTTCAAGTAAATTGGGCATCAAACTCCTCATGTAGTCAGATTGACATCAAATTTTGCACAACTTACAAAATTGAGCATAGAATTACATAGTTGCGTTTTCTATACAGACATAGCCCAACGGATGACCTATTTATATTTGTTTGAAGTCGATTTACATACTTTATGGATAGATCTAGGTAGATTCACATTTAGATAAATATCACATATTTTATTTCATCCAATTTCATGTTAATAGTCCTGTTTAATATACCCATAGTGGTGAAGGGTATCATATAGTCGGCCCCGTCCGACTTTACTACTTTCCTTACTGGTTTTTAATATATAATGGTGCCTTTAATTTTCACCATTCTTAGCAATGAAGTTTCTAACCCCACGAGGAACTATGCTACACCGATGTTATGAGGATATATGGAACATACCAAAAAGTGGTCCTATAGCGACAATTTTTCCAAGCGATTGTTTTAAAGCATAATCCTCATGAAGCATAAATTTCAGCAATTTTAATTGGGATTTTTCTAAAATCTCCCTACCCTACATATTGGTCCTATATTGATAACGCTTGGTAGGGTATATCGGGACGACCGCCAAAAAAGTGGCGAATATGAATAATTTATGGCAGGGAGATTTTTTACCATATACGACTACGGCTACCCGAAAATGTGAACCTATATTCATAACTTTAGTGGAGATTTTTACCCAAAAATACTCAAAATTTGGGTTAGCTTTATATTGAGGTCTACCCGAAAATACGAAACTGTATTTATAAATTTTATTGTATAAATTTGGTACACAATAAGAACTCAAATTAAAAAATTAAATTAAAATGCGCTCAAAATCCCAAAATACTAAAAATTAGGAGGTATGTTTATATGGGGGTTACCAGAAAAAGTGGGCCTATATTTCTAATTTTCAGTGAAGAAATTTGGTAGTAAATTCGGTTGTAAAACGCGCTTAAGAACCGCAAAGTACCGACAATTGAAGTATTCCCTTATATGGGTGCTAAGCTTAAATATGGACCAAAAGATCCCATTTTCGAACTGGCCTGTCTGCAGTCAAAAGATAACTCTATTTGGTAACTCTACGATTTTGGTGATCTATCTTAATTCGTTAATATGATAGAATGAATTTTATGCGCTGGCGGACAGGCGCACATGTGTAGATCGTAATAGAAAAAACATCTTGACTGATGAGGGGATACAGTACTGTTAGGGCATTTTTTCTAGTGTTGATACCATGTTTCCAACTTATTATAGTTATTTTATTTCTGAAATACAGTTATATTTGATATTATAACACCGCTACCACTCGGAATTTTAGATGCTTATCTATGTTAATTTCAGGTCATATCATGATACATCGTGTATGCCCTTCATCACAAAACATTTTTATCCTACAAGAACCCGGATGGCAATTTACAGCAACTTTGGTGGACAAATGCGGATAAACCATTAAAAAAGTCCAAAGGTATCCATCGGTATAATTTTCAATTTAATAACGGTTAAAAGTCAATCTTCTCATGGAATATTGAGTTTAATATTGCATCAGACATTTGTTTAACTTTACGCGTGGGTTCGCTTATTTGCATAGTCATCGTGATTATTTCAGACCATGGGACGCCATCCTACGTTTGCTGAGAGAAAATGAAATGAAATGTCGGATTCTTAAGTGATTGTATAAAACTGCATATATTTCACTTCGATACACTTCTGCTAACGATTTTTTTAAAGCGTAGATGCCTGTCTTAAAAACAATTTGGTCTTTAGAATTAATAAACTCTGATATCGAGTTTTTTAGACTGTCTTGATTTTCATAGTGTTTGCCACTTAAAAACAGCTCTAAATGCTTGAAAAAATTAAAATCGGTCGCAAGAGATCCGATGAATATGGCATTGGTTCGAAATTAATCGCCAGTCCGAAAAATTTCGAACCAACGCTGCAATTTCTGACCTCCCCAAGCGCGCAGCTTTTGCAGCACTATTACAAAGTTTATACTCATGTAAGAAAATGACGCGAATGTTGGCAGAATTCATATCGGCAATAAACTCAAAATAAATAACAAAAGGAAGCACCTTCGAGAAACCCCATTTTGCTGAAATGAGTCTCAGGCAATGGACAATATGACTATGAATGAGGTTATGCCAAAGATAAACGTATAATGAAAACAGGGAGACAAACCTCCTCATGTAAAGAGAATTCTACATTTCATACCCACCAACCTAATATATGGGCTCTTCCATCTATATATGTCGAGATGTTACAAACGGAATAACAAATTAATTTACAAACGGAATAACAAATTAAATCGGCAATCCATCTTATGGTAGAAATTGAATAAAAATTAAAAAAAAAAATAGTATTACTCCCTTAGGCTATATTAATCAACTTTATTTTTTTCCAATTCAAATTACACTGTGTAACAAATTTGAATTTGTTTGATAATTACCGGGAAATTTTAACAGATTATGAAAAAGGGGCAAAAAAAGAAGACACGTGTATTGGCGTTTTGAAAGTTTACGTCGGGAGGTAACCTAAAAACATCTTGTGGGAAAAACGGGTAAAAACTTTTAATAAGTACGATATTAACCCTAAAATGAGTTTTTGTTTTTTATTTTTAAAAGATTTTTGACGTTTAGGCTAATTTTTGAGTTTTAGTCTATTCTGAGACTTATAGTAAAACTTTATGGCGAACATTTCTGTAGAATATTCTGAGCAGCTTTAACCCCGTTTTGAATGAGTTTTCAATCACAGCTGGAAAAGGGGACCGAAAATACCCCTTTAATGAGTCGGTTGAGGGTTAAAGTTACATACCAAAATATTCCTCGATATTTTATCAGGAATATTGCCGAAGACACGATATACCTAACATGCAAGGATTTCAAGAAAACATAATTCGAAAATTATCAAAAATCTTGAAAAGGGGGAATACTGCCCCCCCCCCCCCCCCCCCCTTTTAGGTTACCTCCCGACGTAAACGTTCAAAACGCCGATACACCTGTCTTATTTTTTTAGCCCCTCTTTCATAATCTGTTGGAATTTCCCGGTAATTATTTTTTGTTTTGCACAGTGTTATAATGTTAAAAAAGAAAAATTATACTTTTCCTGTGTTGCTGTTAAATTTTGAGTGTGAGTGTGTCCTATTATTTTAGATTTTTTCTTACATTTTGAAATTCGTTGATATTGCATGATAATTCATTAATAATATTTTTTTATCTGTAGATATTTTGTAAATATTTCTGAATGTCTATGTATATATATAGTACTCTATGTAAAGTATGTATGTATATTATTTCTTAAAATAGGTTTGCATTTTATTTGTATTGTATTTCAACCTGATATTCAAGTATACAATCACATAGAAGCCTTTCAGCAGCTGATTTGAACATTTAATATGCACGGAGATTTGTTTGTTTGTTTGTATGTATAGCATAAATATATTAATTTTCTTCTTTTTTCGCTTTGTTTTTATTTTTATTTAAGATTGGTTGTGTTTGTTTTTTTTTACATATATAACAAATAAATAGGATTTTAAACATAAAAAGGAAACAAACAAAAACTAAGTACAACATAAAATATATATTAAGTACGTAAATTTACAATTGGTTGCATCATTTTGTTTTGTTTTAAAGATATTTTAGATTATTATTTCTAAGAGTTTTACATACATAGATTTAATACTTTTAGTAATAAAGCTCACAAAGGTGTTTTATTTTATTGAATTATAGTTTAAACTTTCAATTATCGCTTGATGTTTATTCTTGTAATAATAAGATTTATTAAAATATTTTCTCTCTTTTTTTTGCTTTGTTTTGTTTGGAATTATTCCAATTAATTTAAAATGTGTGTGAGTGAGTGTTTGTTGGTTTTTCATTTGTGTGAATAATTGAAATTTGTTTATTGTGTATATACTAACAGATGTAAGTACTTAATTACATTTAGACTACAACATGTTGCAATTGCAACCAATGTTCAACATACTCGTAGAGTTTCAATCTAATTGATTTTCACAAGAAATTATTAACAAATTAGATATTCTATTTATTAAGTTTTTTCTTTGTTTTGTTTTCTCAGGGGGGTTTTTTTGTCGTAATTACTGACAATAACAACAACAAAAAATTTGTGCATTTTCTAGTTCTAGAGGAAAGGTTACTTTTTTTGTATGAGGATTTTTTTAACGATGAAAGGTATCTACGCGGGTATGGTTGCCTCTTCATAGAAATCTGGTTCATCTTCATCGGCTTTAGCTTCGCTGCCATCCAACTAAAATGAAAATTACAAAAAAATCAATAATGAGGAAATTTATAAAGAATGGTCTAGAAAGGGAGCAAAGTAGGACGAGTCGACTATATTATAAACTACACCACTTTAATTATTAATTTCATATCCAATAATAAATGAAAACTATAATATTTAAATGAGGTATCGTAAATGTACTTAGCAGGTAAATCAAAATCTTATTAGAAACGAATTTGGTAACAGCTACTACCCTGATGTGTCGTATTAAATTTTATCGTTATAAAATTTATACATCCGCAGTGATGGAAGTATATATGAATAATATATAGAATCGAATCAAAAATAAACGCTATTTTCAAATTCTGTAAGTTACATATGATCGATTTTCGATTTTATACCCTCCACCATAATATAGAGGGTATATTAAATTTGTTATTTCGTTTGCAATAACGTGAAATATTCGCCGGAGACCCCACCAAATATATATATATATATAGAGCTCTGAAATATAGAGCTCTGAAATTTTGCACAGACATTGCTAGTACTCCTACAATGTATTGTATTGCATATTGGGGATTTTAGACACCCTTTTTAACACATTTGGTATTTTGGATTCTCATTGTATAGCACATATCCTTACCAAAAATTATTGCTATTGACCCAAGTTTCTGGGTAGCCCACATTTACTCCCCATTACTCGGTATTTTGGTGATTTTGGGCAGGTTTTCCAACCAAAATCGCCGTAAATCGGTATATATTTATACCCTTCACCACACTGTGGTACAGGGTACTATGTCATTGTGCATATGTTTGTAACAGACAAAGGAAACGAGATAGACCCACGGTTCTTTTTGAGAATTTGCATGGAATCACTTTCTGAGTCGATTTACGCAAGTCCGTCTGTATGTCTGTCCGTCCATGTATTTTTGTGAACAAAGCATAGGTCGCATTTATGACTCGAATTGGATGAAATTTGGCATAGGTCACTTATTTGGTTCAAGGACGAACCCTACTGAAATAAGGAAAAATCGGTTCAGATTTAGATATAGCTCCCATATATATTTTCGTCCGATTTAATGTAAATTGTGCACCAAAATCCCTATATAACTTTCGATTTGCATGACATTTGGCACAACGTAATGAATTAGGTCTGGAATAATGTGTGTTAAGTTTCGTGAAAATCGGTTCAGATTGAGATATAGCTCCCATATATATGTTCGTCCGATTTAATGTAAATTGTGCACCAAAGTCCCTATATATCTTTCGATTTACATGAAATTTGGCACAACGTAATGAACTAGGTCTAGAATCATGTGTGTTAAGTTTCGTGAAAATCGGTTCAGATTTAGATATAGCTCCTATATATACTTTCGTCCTATTTAATGTAAATTGTGCACCAAAGTCTCTATATATCTCACAATTTGCACGAAATTTGGCACAGCGTACTGAATTAAGTCTAGAATGACATGTGTTAAGTTTCTTGAAAATCGGTTCAGATTAAGATATAGCTCCTATATATATTTTGATCCGATTTTATGTAAATTGTGCACTAAAGTCTGTGAAAATCATTCGATTTGCACGAATTTTGGCATAGAGTACGGAATTAAGTCTAGAATGACGTGTGTTAAGTTTCCTCAAAATCGGTTCCGATTTAGATATAGCTCCCATATATAGTTTCGCCCGATTTTAGGTAAATGGTGCACCAAAGTCCCTCAAAATCATTAGATTTACACGAATTTTGGCATAGCTTTCTGAATTGCATGAATTTTGGCACAGCGTACTGAATAAGGTCTAGAACGATGTTTGTTAAGTTTTGTGAAACGGTTCAGATTTACATATAGCTCCCATATATATGTTCGTCCGATATTAGGTAAATGCTGCACCAAAGTCCCTGAAAATTATTTTTGTTAATTGTACACCAAATAATCTCTGTACTAAAAATATTAATATGTTATCAAATTTCCGGGTAGCCCCATATAACGGTACCCCCAATACTCGATATATTGCGGATTTTGGACAGGTTTTCCAACCGATTTGGCTTTAATTTAGTATTTTGGGTTCTCATTGTACAGCACATCTCCGTATCAAAAACTATTCTTACTGACCCAAGTTACTACTCCATAATATTCGGCATTTTGCGGATTTTGAACACGTTTTCCAGCCGAATTGGCAGTAATTTAGTACTTTGGGATTTTCATTGTACAGCACATCTCCATACCAAAAATTATTAATATAGACCCAAGTCGGTATTTTGAAACTTTTCGACACATTTTTTCAATCGAATTCCCTGTAATTTGATATTCAGTATTCTCATTGGCTATCAAATCGCACTAACAAAAATATCAATATTGATATCCGTTTTTTTATAGCCCCATCATTTGCTCAAAGTGGTGTAGATTATAATAATGTCTGTCCCGCTCGATCAATTTTCATGAACATTAATACAAAAACTTACCGCTGCAATTTCCTGAGGCTTATACATTGCTGCTAATTTCATACGAATTGGTACCATCATCACCAAAAAGAAGGGGAATGCCAACGATATCTTTGACGATTTCACAGCCCACAGTACGGCTAGACATAGAACTTGAATAACCGTAAACATGTGCATTTTCCAGGTAGGAACTTTCTTAACATAGGGTGTTGGTGGATAATGTTTTACAGGCATAAAGAATAATCTCACTCTGGAAAAGAAAAAAAGAAACAAACGTTAGTTCGTACTTAAAAAATGTGGATAAGCGAGCATTAAAAAAAAAACACACACACACAATTTATTCGGGTCACATAGATTGTAAAATGCGGCTAGAATTTCTGAAATTTCTAAAGCAAATAATATGAAATCCCGAGTCTGTACTTCTAAGGGCTAAGAAATCTTTAGAAGAGGTCTTTAGATTGAAAAATAAGAAGAGCTCCTTAAAAATGCCTAGAACGAGGTCTTGGGCAATGTAGCCCCTATTGTTTTTGGTAAAGATCGGTTAATATTTAGTTGATGAAATGGACCAAAAACATTTTTTCTGGTCGCTCTAGAGGCCACAACACCACGAATGTTTACACCAGGAAGGAAATCTGGCCAAATAATAAGTATGACTGTTTTGATGAATTTCGGCCAATATTTAGCGTGTCAACTGGACTTTTTAGCCCAATAAGTTGATAGTATAACCAAGAAGAGTGGTTGACCTTTGAATTTTTGTAAGATTTTCTAGTCGGTCTAGAGGTCATAATTACATACAGAATATCACACAGTGCACACGGTGAAGGGGATCTGACCAAATATTTAGAATGGCTGTTTAGGCGATGATAGGTCAATATTCCAAGGGTCAAATCAAGCAAAACCTAATATGAGCAAATTTTATTTAATGGTCAATTATCGGTATAGTGGGAGTTTTTAGAGCTTTGTGGTAGTCGGTCGGTCCCGTCCGACTTTATTGCTCCGCTCACTGGTTTCATATTTAATTTATATAAATATTGGCTTATTTATTACATTAATTTATGTACACATATAAAAAAGAATAAAATTTTATTCATTATATAATACACACTTGTGCCAATGTAATAATGAAAAATAACCGAGTGCATGCTTTTGTGACTGTGACTCACTGTATATGTAAAATTGAATTGATTTTCACCAATTCCATAATTTTTGTATTTGGTCCATTAGAATGAATTGTGCCAATTTTTATCGCAATTGGATAATAACAACGATTTTCATTTTGTTTATATGAACTAACAGACAGACGTGCTTAATTCGACTTAAAACTTTCTTCTAAGTATCTTATCAAATGCAATCAAGACCCATTATTTTTTGCATTTGTAAGGTTTTATGGAGGATTTTCTCTAATTGCATTGCAAGATTGAGAATTCTGAAAGGCTTCCATTATCTCCATTGTGAAGATTTTAGAAAGTTCTCACTTATTTTCTCCGTTATATAAATACCTATCACATACAAAGCATCGTGTCGAAAATCTTCATTCACCATACTTTAAGACAATTAATTTTAACATTTACTCAAATTAATCTATGCTACAAATATTTGCCAAGAATTAAATTTGAATGCATTGCCATATTTAATAAGAAATTTCATGGAACCCATTCTATGCACTTACCTATCAAAGAACTGGACACCACTCATTGAAGCAACGCCCATATACAAGAACACACCGAACAGCACAGCCATAGGAATGAGACGTAATAATGGTGCCATAGTAACGGACAGACCAATCATCAGTGATACAAAAAAGCCAGATAGTCGTTGTTCTTTGACATCAATAATTCTCGGCGACTCACCGGGAGCATGAGTTCTGCAAACGAATACAAAATATTTTGTCTAACTCAAGGACATGGAAAGGATATACTTTAACTATATGTACCTGGACATTATGGTGAGGGCGGAGACATGAGCCACTGAACGTACAGTGGCAGCACAATGCCATGGCATACCAAAGAATCCGCATAGCATATTCAAACAGCATAACAATACAATATCAAAATGAAGGCCGGATCCCTTTTTTAATCCTCTTTCGGGCTTGTCGACAATCAGCTCGGATATGTGTGATTCCATGAAAATCAGTATGTAAACTAAGAGGGCAGGAATTCCGGCCATGAAAGGCAACCAGGTCTCAACAGGCCCCAAACTGACTAACCAACCGCGATTAACAGGATCACTGGGTGAAATGCCCTCGGGCACACTCAACTTTTCCGTGTACACTTGCGGTATGAAATAATCAACCATGACAAATATTGTTATGGAAATTGGAACCCCAAAGTCACCGAGGGCACGACGAGCATTACGTCCCAAAAAATGTGAGTTACGGAACAGCTTCAGATAGTAGGCCACAGTAAATGTGCCCAATGTTAGGATGGTGCAAAACAGAGCAGTATTGGGCATATTCAACGGAGAAAGGCTACCATAATCCATGGTCATACTGGAATTTGTTGTCACATTTGCTCCATCTATGCTGGACGAATCTGCCAGGCCCAATACGGTCTCATTGACCCCATTCAATGGTGATGAACCAACCATTGTCGGTGGTGGCAAATTGTAATCAGCCAACAGGGGATGTTTCTTATACACCGATACAAGTTTCATAATTGTCTCCACGATGTAAATCAAGGTGATTAAGGCCGAGAATATCTCCTGGGTGAAACGGGTCAAGAGACGAACATAAACACTGCCTTCAAATGCCGAAACCAAAATTGAAATAACCGCCAACCATATACCGATGTAGGCTCGTATGGTTAGGAAGCTTATTCCATTTTCCTTGCAAAAGTTATTCAGGGCCTCGTCGAACAGCAGCAGCGGTCCAGTTGTTCCAATAATTACCAACGGTTGACCAGCCAACGAGTGGAATATGACACCCACCACAGAGGCACTCAACAGGGTTTCCGAAATACCAATTAAATTGTGGGTTTTATCCGAAGCCAAACCACCAAAGGTGATGGCTGTCGAAAGGCAAGCAAAATACATAAAAATGGTGGCGGCCAACGTTTCGGTGTTCAGGCCATCCAAAATATCACTGCGATACATGGGCAAGCGTCGCTTAAGATCGTTGCGTAGACCACCCCACAGGCGGTGTGTTTTCTCCAAGGGGCTTGGTTTTTTCTTTCCATCATCATCGTCGTCATCCGGCTTTTTATCTACCAGAGAACTTATCAGATCGGTGCCGACGTTATTGATCTGCTTCTCTTTGAGTTCCTTCTTGCTCTGGAGAGCCTGGGCCTTACGCGAACGAATCCAGTCCTTTTTGGCTTTCAACTCTTCGAACGGCAACAGATCATGGCGGTCCCAATTGCCAGGTGGCAAAACAATGGAATCGTCCAAGAATTCATTTATGGCCGAGAGTAAATCTTTTCTATCATCAGCTGTATAGGCAATGCCGTGGAATGATTCGTTAGCCATGAGAGTGGCAATGGCACGACCCACTTCATGGTAATCCAAATCATAATTGGGTGGACCCAACAGAATGAACATAAAGCGAACGGGTATGGGAACTTCGGTCAGACTTGGCATCGGTACACCTTCTGCTAAGCGCACAAAGGCAATGGTTGGTTGTTCCAAGAAATCGACAGCACCTACCTATAAATGCACATCCATTAAAAGAAACTCTAGGAATCTGCTTCGTAATACATACCAATACAGTTGTGGCTTCTGCTCCCTGAGGAATTCTCTTGAGGATGGTATCGTTTTGCAGTTTCTTTAAGTCTTCCTGTGATGACGAATACATATCGTCCTTCATATCAATTTTTAAATCATTGCTTTTCTTACTGCCTCCAATTTCTAGGGCGGGCATAATTTTAATTTTTTTATCATCACCCGAAAGATTCTGCACAGAGAAGACAAGAGGAGTGAAAAAAACAAAGATTAAGAAAATCGTTCTCAGGATGTTTTGATTATTTAAAAGGAAAAAAAGAGTAGATGTTGAAATTGAAAAAAAAAACAAAGAAGAAAAACATGCAAGAAAAGCAACAGAAAAGCAAAATTTTACAGCATAGTTATTTTTGTTTCAGAACATTAAGTAAATAAAAAAGTTGTGACAAAAAGTTGTGTTAGATAAATAAATAATTCGAATTTAATAGTTAATAACACAAGAAATATCATTTGAAAATATTATGTGTGTGCCCATCCATGCCCAAGTAGCAAAAAATAAATTTCGAGATTTTGAAAAATCCATTTTCTTTTAACTTATGTAGAAATAGTCGATTTAAGGGGACCTCCCAATTCTCGGTGTCAAAAAATTTAATTTTGTATTTTGACTTAATTCGATCCTACAAAATTCCTTATCTTCGCTAGAATATATTTTCTACTAAAAATATGTTTTAAAATAAAAAAATATATATATTGTATAAAACATATTCCTTGAAACAAACTACGCTTTAAATAATATTTTTAAAAAAATGTACAAACATTTTTGATGTAGATCGAACTCTGTAGGTTACTATAATTTGGAAATCGGGATTTCTGGTGAATAAATAAAATCTTTCCAGGAAGTTTTCAAAAGGCTCATGACTTTTATATCGATAATATACCAAGGTCCCGCATAATTTTCGGTACGTCAATATTAAGATCCCCATCATTTTATAACCTCCACCATACAGTGAAGTGTTTATTAAAATTGTCGTTCCGTTAGTAATACCTCGAAATATTCACCGGAGATTCCACAAAGTATATAAATTCTTTATCAGAATAATATTCTAGGTCGATATCGATTTACTCATGTCCGTCCGTCTATCTATCTGTGTAAATCACGATAGAGATCCCAAAATTTAAGATAGAGCCTTGAAATTTTGCACAGAAATTGCTAATACTACTAGGATATCTGGTATTGCAAGTGGAATATATCGGTCCAAATTTTGGTGTAGTCCACATATAACAGTGCCACCCCCAGTATTCGGTATTTTGGGAATTTTAGACTGGTTTTCCAAACGAATTGGCTGTAATTTGGTATTTTGGGTTCTCATTGTATAGCACATCTCCATACCAAAAATTATTAATATTAACCCATGTTTCAGGGTAGCCCCTATATAACGGTACTCCCCAATATTCGATATTTTGGGGATTTTGGACACGTTTTCCAACCGAGTTGACTGTGATTTTGTATTTAGGCTTCTCATTGTACCGTACCAAAAATTATTAATATTAATCCACGTTTCAGGGTAGCCCTCATATAACGGTACTCCCCAATATTCGGTATTTTGGGGTTTTTTGACAGGTTTTCCAACCAACTTGGCTGTAATATTGTGTATTCATTGTATGACGCACTTCCCTACTCAAAATTTGTAACTTTGACCCACGTTTAAGGCTAACCCCCTATAATGCGGTAGCCGCAATATAGAAATTTTTGGCATGCTTTTCAAACAAATTGACTGGAATTTTTGATTCTCATGACGGTATCATCACATCTCCACACTAAAAATTATTAATATTGACCCAAGTCGTCTTTTTGAAAATTTTGGACACGTTTTCAAATGAATTTACAGTAATTTCGTAGCTTGTTTTCTTATTGGCTGTCAAATATCCCTAACAAAAAATGTCAATATTAATCTCCGTTTTATTATAGCCCAATATAACGGTAGCCCCCATTATTATATTATTTGAGAATTTGAATAATTTTGTTCTGCGCATTTTTCGCTATGTTCGAGGTCCTAACATAACATGGAGCCCGCAATAATTTTAGATATTTTGATTTTCATCCTCATGGTGGAGCATATAAAAAGTTCGGTCGGGTCGAACTTAACATAGTTATTACTTGTTAATGTTTTATTTATAATTTTCTTATATTAAAAAATATTGTTTTTTTTTTTTTTTTTTTTTTTTTTTTTTTGTAAAAAGTGATAAAAAACTTTTTATATGCATTAGAAATATATTTTAAAAATGCTACCCTTTTTAATTCCTTAGTGGAAAAATAATATTATTTAAACCTGAGTTTTAAAAATTTATCATGAAAAATGTTTAAATAAAATCAAAGCAAATCCAAATTTGATTTTTTTTTAAATCCATGTTTGAACTAGTTTTTTTTTCAAATACGTGCCTGAAAATTCTACAAGTAAAGTGTTTGTTCAATATTCAATGTCATTTTTTTGTGTTTTGACAGTAAAATCGAATAATGGAATTTAGAATATACCATTAAAATTTTAAATATCATCTACCAAATAGAAACGGAACAACTTTAGCGCAAAAATCGAAAATGACCGACTATAGGTCACAAATATTGCTAATATTCAGTAAATCCCTTCTAATTACTTGTCCAGATTCCCTTCACCGTAGGTTGTGTTATGATGTTCGGCTTTCAATTGTGACCTATATATTGACTCGAAAAAACTCAAAAAATTAAGTTTTCGGTCCACCTCATCCCAATATTATTATCTGATCATCACCGAAAATTATAGGCGTTATCCTTGACCATACCTGGATCCTCATCGAAAATTTGAAAGCTATCCGCGCTGTAAATCCGCCTCTAGTGTGGTAATGTGTTACTAAATAATATCCGAGTACGTAAGCACCTGTAAATATTTAAGTGTAACTCCCACATCCGAGTACATATCGACGCCTCCGAACCATAGTATGCTAAGTCGACTTAGCATGTTTTAAAGTTCTTCACGTTTTTAGATACTACGGTCCTTAATTTAAATTCACTGAAATTTTGTTAATCACCTGCCAATCCAAACCAAAGTTATAAGCAAAAATGTACTTAGCATGGCACGTTCGATTAAAGAAACTTCCATACTTTGAAAGCTTCTACTGAAAAACTCACTTTTCAGACTTAGCATACTATGGTTCGGAGGCGTCGATATGACAATATAATTGGTATCAATTTAAAGGTCAACCACTCCTCTTGGATATGGTATGAACTTTTCGGCTCTATGTCATTCAGGAGTAAATATGTACGCTATAGAATACAAATTTTGTCATTTTTCACACAAAAGTAAGGGTCCATTTGACCCGCTAAATATTGACCGATTCTTTGGCCCCATCCCCTTCCCCATGTAGAAATTCGCGATGTTTGGGGCATAATTGCGGCCTCTAGAGCGTCCAGAATATCAGACAAAAATTTAGTTTTTGGTCCATTTCATCCCCTAAATATTAACCGATCTTTACCAAAAACAATAGGGGTCTTCATTGGCCAGAACCCATCCTACATGCAAAATTTCGTATAGATTGGTCCATAACTGTGGCCTGTATCGTGTTTACAAATTATAATGGACAGACGGACGGACGGACACACACACACATGTCTAGATCGACTCAGCTAGTCGAGATATGACGATCGGTATACTTAAAGGTGGGTCTAGGACCAATATTTCGCGGCGTTACAAACTCTTGGGACTGCACAAAGCTATAATACCCTGACAACATAGTTGTGTAGGGTATAAAAATGACACACAAGGAAACGAGTTAGAAGGACAAAGAGTTCTACAAAAAACGTCCTCATAAGATTTCACGAATGAATAATAGGGTCGCGAGCAAAAAATCATCACATCATATTTCCGAACATTCACCTAGTGTGCATTTTTGCCTCTGTGGCTTTCACATACTCGCCAAAGTCTTTCATCCCCAATGGGAATTTTCGAGTGAAATAAGTGTGTTCCACTTTTAAAATACTGCAATTTGGGGGTTTTTTTTTGCAATGGCCCCAAAAAATATGTTCAATTCCAAGAAAAAAATTGTGTTAAATTTGTAAAAATTAAGGACAAAAACACTTTTCTAATACAAACAAAAGAGTGTAGAAATAAATTTCAATAGAAAATTTAGTTATGCCGAAATAGTGTGTGTTGGTTTGTTTTAATTAAACAATTTTAGCATTAAAAATCTATTTACATAACAAACAAAACAGAAACGAAATAAGCCACAAACAAAGAAAAGAAGCACTTTTCTACATAATCAAATCAGTTTTTCTATAAATATACATATTTTTTTTTTCAAAATTAGTATTGTATAACATTTACACCCATGTAGGACAATGTGGAATGCCTACGGCAAGACGCATCTATGGTGACTGCTGTCGCTGGTGGTGCACTCAGTGTTTCACAGATGGAACGACGTGCTGGTGCGTTGGTTGCATTTATTCGAATTCGTTGTTGCAACTGTAGTTGTTGTTGGTTATTGTTTTCACTTCCCAATAAAAGCAACTGTACGAGTTTGTGTGGTTGAACATTTTGTTTTTATGTTTTATGCAAAGGTTCATTGTTGGAATATTTAAAATATTATGGTTTGAAAATTATATATAATATTTAATATAATTATATATATGATTTTATATATAATTTTACCACAATTACATATGTATTAGGGTGAAAAAAGTACCATGGTTTCAATAAAAGAAAGAAGAAAGAAAAAGAGATCATTGTATTAAACGAAATGTGGTTTGCAGTGAAGTGTGAATACTTCTTGTTATGAATTCGTGGCGTGTATAAAGAAGGGAAGCGAATAAATGGGGGGACACATGATTGAATTCAAGTGTGGTTATTATGAGAGTCCTTGGCAAATTAAGAACTTATTTCGAGAATTTGTAGATAATTTCGAAGCATAAAACTATGTGCATAATCAATCTATACTAAACATTTGGGAAATTACTAGCAATAAACTTGGAAAATATGAACATAAAAAACATACCTCGATTTATTAGCCCTTTGAGCCTCGTTTTTTTCCGTGATTGCAACTTTCGTAATAAGATATAAACTAAATATCATTGCATTCGAAAGATACAGTACATTCTTTCAGAAAAATAATAGTCCAATATCAAGAAAAGATAAGTCAATATCGGCGCAAACAAATTCTTCTTTAGATTCTTATTTCAAAGAATCTGAAATAATGTTGAGAGTACAATTCGTACAATTCGAATACGTTTAATTAAATAATTTGGACTGTATACGCAAATTGGTACATTTTTAACCTCAAATATACGATGGATAAAAAAATAGTTTTAGATTTGTATACCCTTAACCATACTGTGGTACAGGGTATTATGTCTTTCTGCATATGTTTCCTTTTGAGAATATGCATAAAATCACTTTTTAAGTCCGTCGTTCCGGCTGTCTGTCCATGTTAAATTGTAAACAAAGCGCAGGTCGCATTTATGATCCAAATTGGATGAAATTTGGCATAGGTCACTTATTTGGCCCAAGGACGAACCCTATTGAAATTGGGAAAAATCGGTTCAGATTTATATATAGCTCCCATATATATTTCCGTCCGATTTTATGTAAATGGTGTACCAAAGTCCCTATATATCTTTCGATTTGCACGAAATTTTGCACAGTATACTGAATTAGGTCTAGAATGATGTGTGTTAAGTTTCCTGAAAATCGGCACGAAATTTGGTACATTGTACTAAATTAGGTCTAGAATAATGTGTGTTAAGATTCCTGAAAATCGGTCCTGATTTAGATATAGCTGTACTAAATTAGGTCTAGAATAATGTGTGTTAAGATTCCTGAAAATCGGTCCTGATTTAGATATAGCTCCCATATATATTTTCGTCCGATTTAATGTAAATGGTGTATCAAAGACCTTATATATCTTTCGATTTCCACAAAATTTGACACAGCGTACTGAATTAGGTCTAGAATGATGTTTGTTAAGTTTCCTGAAAATTTGTCCAGATTTAGATATAGCTCCCATATATATTTTCGTCCGATTTAATGTAAAGTCCCCATATATCTTTCGATTTGCATGAAATTTGGCATAGCTTACTGAATTAAAATTAGAATGATGTGTGATACGTTTCCTGAAAATCGGTCCAGATTCAGATACAGGTCCCATATATATATTTTCGTCCGATAGATAAATGGTCAACCAAAGACCCCAAAGTAGGCCGATTGACAAAAAATTTGGCACAACGTACTGAAGTTAATATAACCTAGCTTGAAGCAAACCTGTATCTGACCAAATGAAAAATTTAGTATAGGTTGCTGAATGATATGTTTATGGATCCATTTGCATGTTAATGGTCCTTTAAAAATTCGACGTCTGTTAGGATTTATCTGTTGAATATACCCACAGTGGTGAAGGGTAACATATAGTCGGCCCCGTCCGACTTTACTACTGTCCTTACTAGTTTCTTTTGATTTGAGTCGCACATTATTAGTTCTTGAAATGTGTAATCGAAAAAAAAACAGTTGAAACGCAGTAAGGAGCCGAATAGATGATAATGTGTACAATATCCTGTAGATAGAAGAGTCATAGCATCTTTGGAAAACCATTGAAATGGAATCAGGCGAAAAAAAAATCATTCTGAAATATATGAAAAATGTGATGTCAATCTGGCAGATTTGGATTTTTTTGTGTAACATTTAAATGAAATTCAGCAAAATTATGTATGGGAGCTGTATCCAAATCTGAACAGATTTCAACAAAACTTCAAACTGGACTGAATTCAGTACGCTGTGCAAAATTTTGTCTAAATCGGACAAACAATGGGTTACATAAAATCGAACGAAAATTTATATGGGAGCTATATACAAGTTTGAACCGATTTATGCATTGAAATTGTTATTATTTGGTCAACGTTTTGATATAGCTGCCAAAAATTGGTGACACGCAATTTTCGGTATTTTTAATGTTTGAACTGGCAGCTGTGTCATATTTCATCTAATACGGATCATAAATGCGACCAGAATTTCGTTCACAATATATAATGCCCACAGACGCACATATATACATCGACACAGAAAGTGATAGCGCATATCTTCAAAAATAATTACGGTTCTATTTCAATTTTCTGTACAACAGTAGGATGTAGAGTATAAATAAAAAAAGTATTTTGTGAGTCTATTGTATTTGTATTGCCCTCTTATTGCGAAAAAAAAACAAAATGCTAATTTTAATTTTTTTTTAAACCAATTTTCTAAGCAGATAAATGACTAATTAATGAATGAAAATTTACCATAATATGATTATACCTTACATATCTATTGAGTCAGGGTGTTAATTATTTATTTATCTTTTTTGTGTCATTCGTATGTTACAATGTCATTAATATTACTATAATCTATTTAAAAGCCTGTTAAATCAATCAAAATGAAAAGTAATGACGGAATAAAAAAGAATGGCATAAAACAAATATTACACTGTGCAACAATGAATATGCCAACAAACTTCAAATAAAATTTTTTAATTCACTCTACCATATCCATGTTTTGACATTTCCTCCATATAAGGGCTGTGCCCCTCCAAAGGAATCCACGCCGTTGTCGGTGTTATGAATGATTTAATCGCATTTTTTCAATTGTAGTGGCTGTAATTTAGCATTCTCGATTACTGGAGGATAAAACACATTTTTTTCGGAAAATTGTCTATATAGGTCCATGTTTTGATATAGCTCCCACATTTAACCGATTTTTTTCTTCGAAGAAGCTACAATTTGGCATATCCAGAACATTATAGATATATTTTTTTAGAATTGTCTCCATACTAATAACCCATTTAATTTTCGGTGAGATAAAGTTCATACCCCATTTTTAACACCTGAGTGCTTGTAATTTAGAACATTATTTTTTCAGGGCATGAACGAACACCAACAAAAAATAATGCAATAATATAGTCACCATATTAAAGTTTAACGGATTTAAAAAATTTAAAACATCCCACATTCGACTGAACAAAATTCTGTGTTATTTTTGAGGCTAAATTACAAATTTCGCACTAAATTGAGGGTTTATTAGAATTTTTTTGTTATATTTCAATTTTATGTTAAGATGTCCACTTATTGATTACCATGTACTTATGGCATTTTTATTATAAACCAGTGAGCGGACCAACCATACGATACCCTACACAACTACCACGGAACTCTAATTATCTGCCGATGTTTATTTCAAGCCTGTACAATATTTCTTGCCCAATTAGAGATCAACAACACCTCTTCCTTACACTGTCATATTTTCCGAATATTACTAATATTCAGTACAGCCCTTCTAATTACTTGTTCAGATTCCCTTCTCCGTGTGGTTGTGTTGTGTTGTTCGACTCATAATTGTGTTCGGCTCGAAAAATACAAAAAAATTAAGATTTAGGTCCATTTCATCCGAACATTATTATCTGATCCATTGTCCTTGGCCATAACTGGAACTACATGGAATTATTATCAATTTGAAGACCAACTACTCCTCTTGGATATGCTATCAACTCTTCGGGATTATGTCCTTCAGGAGTTAATACATATGCCGTAGAATCCAAATTTTGTTATTTTTCACACAAATGTTAGGGTCCATCTGACCCGCTAAATATTGTCCGATCTTTATTAAAACGCGCATACCTATTGTAAATGGAGAAGGTATCCCCTTTTGATAAAACATTCCTTGTCCAGCAGTTTGTAAACAAACAACCATAGTGATGGTGTGGGCCGCCATAACAGCCGATGGTCGCTCCCCGCTCTATTAATCGACCGTGACATGAGAATAAATGCCGAAAATATTCTGAAGGATGTTTTAAAGCCTTGGGCACACAAACATTTTGGCCGCAGACCTTGGACATTCCAACATGATTCAGAACCATCGCACTCAGCACGCGCCACCCATGGTTACAAAATGAGGTTCCTCGCTTAATTTCCAGCGCACAATGACCAACATTTTCGGATACCAATGCGTTGGACTATTGTGTCTGGTCGTCGATCACCTCAAGCAAGCGCTTCGCCGGATATGGTCCAAAATAGCGCAGAGCAACATTCGGGCAGCGTGTGACGGTTTCATTGGCCGTTTGAAGGCCATAATTCGTGCCAATAGTGACCAATTCGAACAAATCTAAACATATTCTAAAATTTGATTTTTTTATTTCACCCTGTATATGCTGTTTAAAAGTGTCCAGTAGAATTTGCTCACACTCCATCATAGCAACAAAAAATGTAGCATGGTGTTATAAAGGAAAGTCCCACTGCTGTGATTAATGTTATGGGACCATATGAAAGGATTGCGAGAAAATAACAAAGCGTAAATAAAAATGAAATGAATGAAACTGAAATAAAAACAACGGAACTATGTCTACTAAAAAACATCGATAAATATTTTTACGGACGAACAATTGACTTGTACAGATGGATGGATGTATGGATGGATGTATGCATATACAATTATAGTTATGGGCATTAGGGGGACGTTTTTCGACGATGAGTGCAAATATTGTAGTATTGAGAGCGATATATATTTATATATTGATATGTTTAATTATAAGTAATGAGTATGCATTGTCTAGTGTTGACACACCCCGCACACATACGCTTTTATTTTTGTTCGGCATATCAGCATATGAGCACGTTGTTGTGCGTGTGTGAATGAGTGATATATCGAATTGGAATTTTCTTCAAATAATAAAAAAAAAAAATACTATGGATATTACCTGTAAACTTGTATAGCTATTGTATTTTCGCTTGGTAAAGGGAAAACCACTTTGGTGTTCGTTGACATGACGATGGCGTAAAAGTAGGGAACGTAATACGGCCGGTTTGTCATCCACATGAATTAAATCTTCTACAACCATCTGCAATGAAAATATGACATTAGGATGTAATGAAAAAATAGTTTATAGAAATTAGTTTATAGTCATTGTACAATAATATTACATAATAATATTATATAATACGAGGGCAGTTCGGAAAGTTCTTAGCCTAGCACAAAAGTGCGGTATAAACAGAAAAAAAGTTAAGTGTTTTGGTAACTTCCATCTCTGTTAAGAACACATGTTTAACTATGTTTCGATCTGGCAACTCCTTCATATAGAAACAGTTGTTCAAAAAAGACGCATCCGCAATTTTTTACAATCGAAAAATTAGAAATGCGTGCTTTCATTGTAAAAATGTTGCGGATGCGTCTTTTTTGAACACCTGCTTCCATATGAAGGAGTTGCCACGTTTGCTATAAAAAATATCAAACCTTCAAATGGAAATTTCAGATGGCGCCTGGGAATATATGTATATATTAGCCCACATAGTCATTGTACAATAATATTATATAATACGAGGGCAGTTCGGAAAGTTCTTAGCCTAGCACAAAAGCGCGGCATACACAGAAAAAAATTAAGTGTTTTGGTAACTTCCATCTCTGTTAAGATCGGGCAACTCCTTCATATAGAAACAGGGGTTCAAAAAAGACGCATCCGCAATTTTTTACAATAGACAAATTAGAAATACGTGCTTTTATTGTAAAAATCTTGCGGATGCGTCTTTTTTGAACACCTGCTTCCATATGAAGGAGTTGCCACGTTTGCTCTAAATAATATCAAACTTTCCACTGGAAATTTCAGATGGCGCCTGGGAATATATGTATATATTAGCCCTCATTATCATCTTCTACTTACTTGTTCGACAACACGATATGCCACAGCTGGTAAATCTTTTTCATTCAAATCCAGCAGCACAACACCCGTTTCAAGGCAACGACGTAAATTAAGCAATGAATGGAATGATAGCGATGAAACATGAGCTTTACCCCAACGATCGGAACCCTCTTGAACGTCTTCTTCATATTTGATCCAACGGGCCGTTTCTTTCCATTCACGATCCTCACCGGATCCCATAAGTTCATCAAGCTGCACAAAGATCTATAAAATTCATAATGACAAATTTGGCTATATATTTTATTCTGTACATAGTGGATCCATTCAAAAAACTTACTTCATGTGGACTATGATCAAATTCCTTTTTAGCCTGCTGCTGTAAACCGGCCACACTTATTTGTGGCAATTCACGTAATTTTATGGATGAATGATGAATTTTGTGCCTTCTCAATGCCCGTGGATCATCGGAGCGATGTGATCTTAATTCATTGAGATCCGCTTCCTATAAGAAGTAGAATTTTACATTACTTTAAAAGGTATCCAAAAAAACAACTTAATGTGTAATGTTTTTAACCTGTGGCGTCTTTGGTTAGCAAAAGGGGGTTTAGGTTAAGCAAAATAGTAGAAGAAAATAAAAAAAATTGTATATATGGTTAGCTTCATATACACTTTTACACAAATAATTATATACTTATTATATAGAAAATGACACAAAGGATCGCCAAAAAGTGTACTCAGTGTTCTGTCTTAGAATACCTATTAGTATTACATTAGTATGATCATATGATCGAACCACTATATTTTATGGAGAAAATGTAACCGGTTCATGAATTTGAAATTTATGTTCATATTTTCTCCTGGGAAAAGATATCTGCGATTATATCCCCTTTCTTTATTTTGGCTAACTCTGCTGACTTATTTCCAAGCAAAAAAACAATCACGATCTTCGTCTCCATTCTCACAAAAATGTAAGAAGAAGCAAAGAATACATAAAAATAGATTTAAGATTATAGATATAAAAACTGCAGTCATAAAATTAAAAAAAAAACTAAATGCAATACTAACTAAGGAGAGAGAGAGAAGATAAGTGGTGTTCCAATGAAAATTAAAAGCACAACTTTCACTACTTGGACAGGTGTCATAGCACGACAACATTGACAACGTAGGAGAGTCCGTCATATTTTCTTTACGGTACTGGACTTAATCACTACTCGGGGGTTTTCCGTCAGTAATCCCACTGCTGGAGCATTTGCTAGCCTCTGCAATAGAACAATTTCCATACTGTCACTTTTTAGGGATTAGGATATGAATGATTCTCAGTGTAGTTTCTGAAGGAACTAGTTCAAACTATTCCGAACGAGAAAATATCGGTACCATGCTCATCTCTTTCTTTGGTTTAGTTAATTTTTCCTCTCGTTTAAATAGTTCCCTTTGATTCAGTACTTTATACAGATCTTTAGTTCCGTTCATCCGAACGAGAAACTATCCGTACCATCTTCTCTTTCTTTCGTTCATAGTTCCTTTTGATTCAGTACTTTATACAGATCTTTCTGTTCATCGATCGAATTAATTGATATGTACCAATGAACGACAAAACAAAAACAAACTATGGAACTAAATGAATGACCTAGTTCCTTTTGTGGAGCGTACCGAAAAAAATATTGAACCGATTCAGGAACGAGATTACTTCACTCTAGGGCTGTCAGTTAGGATTTTGTGTAATGCAATCAAACTTTTCATCATATTTCACCAACGTTTTCTTAAATAAAATGGGGAACCATGGATTTCACCAAGCACTTTGAAAGAAACGATTGCAGATTTAGATAACATGTTTAATGACTCAAAGACCGAAGAGGATTTGAGATGCTGTGCGAGGAGTAATGCTGTGTGAGGAGTAATCCGAAAAGAAGGCATGCCACAATAATCATATTTACAACGTTCTGAAGGAGAAGTGATTTTAACATACACTGATGATGTGCTATTGGCATTGCAATGACGTGGATAGAAAGCTGAATGCGTTCCTGGAAACACTTCACAACTCAACCAACTATCAAAGTTTGCAATGGGTTCATCAGAATTTTATACTGGATTGAGTTTCTTGTAATTATCCCGAAATATAGATCATTCGGATTATGTGCTGCTGAAGGCAACGAAGGTGAATTTCGCAGCAATAACATTTCCGTACGCAAGAATCATGTAGAGAAAGAATTCATATATTATATGAATAGTATTCAGAAAAAGTTTGCCAATGTCCGGATTTCTACATTTTATAAATGCAATTCATAGAACTTTAAATACTGGTTTCTTGCCAGGGAGAGAAAGAGAGAAAAAGAAAACAAAAATTTTAGAGTGTGTTTGTATGGTCGTGTTTTTCTATGGCACAGATACTTTCTGTAGTTATGATACTTTTCTGTTTTGTTCTTTTTTATGCCTTGTCTCGTTGGATGCCAATTAGATCCATGTTCGCCCATTAAGTCCCAATTAGAACAATCATCACATATAACAATGTTAAATACATTATCGGTCTTGTTGCTCGTATCATCATTAGCTTGACATATTATATCTGGTATTCGAAATAATTTGGAAAATACATATGCGAATTTTCTATATATAGCAATGTAGTGACTGAAATAAACAAACAATGAAGTACTAAACTAACCACAATCCAGTAAATGGAGAGACAGAGCACCACCAAGTGAGGGGGGAGACGGATTGTCTATGACAAAACAAAACACAGCCGAACAGTGAATGGTGTTGTTTTTTTTTTTTCAAAGAGTGGTAAAGTCAGATGGAGGAGAAAAATAGAGTTGCTATTAATGAAAATATTACATATTAAGGTACATAGACAATATGAAACCAGTGAGCGGAGCAGTATAGTCGGACGGGGCCGACCATACGATACCCTACACAACTACCACAAAACTCAAAATTTCTGCGAATTTTTATTCCGATTCTGGGCAATATTTCGTGATATTTGCACCCTCTTGTCCGATTAGAGGTAAACAGCACCTCTTCCCCACACTGGCATATTTTCCGAATATTACGAGTATTCAGTACAGCTATTGTACAGATTCCCTTCACCGTGGGTTGTGTTGAGATGTTCGGCATTCATTTGTGGTCTATAGATCGACTCGAAAATAACACAAAAAATTAAGTTTTCGGTCCACTTCATTCCAAAATTATAATCAGATCATCACCGAAAATGATAGGCGTTGTTCTTGACCATACCCGGAACCTCATGGAACATTTCAAAGCGATCAGCGTTATAGTTCCGCTCTCTAGAGTGATAATGGGTTACTAAATAATATATGAATACGGAGATACCTGTAAATATTTAGGTGTAACTCCCACATCCGAGCACATACAACAATATATTGGTATTAATTTAAAGATCAACCACTCCTCTTCGATATAATATCAACTTCTTGGTTCTATGTCCTTCAGGGTAAATATATACGCTATAGAATACAAATTTTGTCATTTTCACACAAAAGTCAGGGTCCATTTGACCCGCTAAATATTGACCGATCTTTATCAAAACAGGCATGCTTATTCTTTGGCCCGATCTCCTTCTCCATGCAAAATTTCACGATGTTCGGACCATAACTGCGGCCTCTGGAGCGACCAGAAAAACCGACAGAAATTTAGTATTTGATCCATTTCATCCCCTAAATATTAACCGATCTTTCCCAAAAACAATAGGGGTCTTCATTGGCCAGAACCCATTCTACATGCAAAATTTCGCGAAGATTGGTCCATTACTGTGGCCTGTATCGTGTTTACAAATTATAATGGACAGACGGACGGACGGACACACATGTCTGGATCGACTCTGCTAGTCGAGATATGACGATCGGTATACTTAAAGGTGGGTCTAGGATCAATATTTCGCGGCGTTACAAACTTTTGGGACTGCACAAAGCTATAATACCCTGACAACATAGTTGTGTAGGGTATAAAAAAATAAAGTATGAATGGAATTATGAAAATATTCAATAACATATTTTTCGGTGTACATTAAGGCTAATGATATGGGCTAGATAAGTCTTACAGACCGATCTCACTTTTGTTGCAATCAGTTAAGACTCTTGAGACATTGCTGTTCTTTAGAAATTGTGAAGAGATCGTCAACCCGTCGCAAAATGGTTAGAGAGCTGAACACATCGCAACATTCCATTCGGCAAATATTAAAAAATGAGCTCAGGGTAAAGACATTGAAATTCCAAAAAAGTGCAAGAACCTACAACAGGAAGAAAATAGACTCAAAAAATCTAAAGAGTTGCCTCGTTTGGCGAAAGTGGAGAACTGCCGCATTTGGTTTTATCCGATGAGAAAACATTGCACCTTCGATTGACCACCAGAACTCAAGCTCCGGTCATGATGATGGTGTGGGCCGCCATAACAGCCGATGATTGCTCTCCGCTCTTATTAATCGACGGTAGCATCAGAATAAATGCCGAATATTATTGCGAAAATATTCTGGAGGGTGGTCACAGACCTTGGACATTCCAACATGACCCAAGAATGGTTACAAAATGAGGTTCCTCTCATCATTTCCAGAGCACAATGGCCACCAAAATCTCAGGATACCAATCCGATGGACTATTGTGTCTGGAGTATTTTTGAAAGCAAGGTTGGCAATAAAAAATACCAAAGTGTCGATCACCTCAAGCAAGCGCTTCGCCGGGAATGGGCCAAAATACTGCAGAGTAACATTCGGGCAGCGTGTGTCGGTTTCATTGGCCGTTTAAAGGTCATAATTCGTGCCAAAGGTGAGCAATTCGAACAAATGTAAACTTATTCTAATATTTGATGCCATTTCCGACATTGTTTGCATTCATTTAATAAAATTTAAAAAAAAAAAAAATTAAAATGATGGCGTTTGACTTTGTTGCAGTTTTTTTATCTTAACCAGTATATGCGTTGACGTGGAATTTAAAAAATAAAAAACCTGAACTTTTTAACCTATGCCATTGTGAATTTCAACGGAGAATTGTATGAGCATGGTAATAGGTTGAATAAAAATATCTAACGAACATAACATACTTTTTCTATTAAAAAATTAGATGAATACGAACCTACATAATTGAAAATAGAGTAGATGTAAGTTGAAATTTTAGGGTAGGTATTGATGGTAGTATAATGCAGATGAACTCTGCGTTGAGGTCAAAACGAACAAAAAAACAAAATTTTTTTGGGATACACTTAAGGATACAACCGAATAAATTAACTATAACAATTAATCTCAATTAGCTTAGGGCATATCATAAGCATACTAATAAATATCACATAACAATGCAAATACTAAAGATTCTAAATACCAAATCGATTTAATTACCTCCAATGCCGCATCTTCCGGTGCTGATATTTTGCGATTACCGGCATCGCCATTTTCATCGCTGACTTTTTTGGCTTCCACGCTGTCTTGATGGGAAAATTTCCGTTGTCTATAATATTGTATTCGACTGCAAAGAAAAAGAGGGACGCAAAACAAAATAATTATTATAAGGCAATTATTATTGTATTGGACAATAACACACACACACACATACAATAAAGCAAAACAGGTATCAACTAATTAACGGCAATTTGTATTGTTATTATCAGAGAAAATAAAAACAAAACAAAAAAAATTAACGCCAAACTAACCTTTTTCTTCTTTTACGTTCGTGTATATTATCGTTGGGTTGTTCATCATAGCTTAGGCTAGGCGGTGTAACAACGGTTGCCTTCTTTTTTCCAAATTGCACGTGTTTTTCATCGGCTGAATTATCCTGTTGAGGGTTGAAAAAAAAAAAACAATATTGATTTTTATAATAATATTTAATAATGTTTATATTTTATTGTTGTTGGTTTTGATTTAGTTTATTACCGAATGATCTCCATGACCAGCACGTTCTGACACTAATGGATAATCTTCTGGAATATCATCGTAATTTTGAGCATTGGTTTTTTCATTGCCCTGTTCGTATTCGTTTTGTTCTTCTATATTTAAATCTCCAGGTATAGTTTTTCGATTGGCTGCAAAAAAAAAGATATTTGGATTATTGTTGTTTTGTTGATACTGTTATTGATATCAAATATTGAAAGTGACTGGCATTACAGACCGGCATACATAAATATATAGAGAGTGAAGAAAATATTGGCAGAACGTTGTCGATATTAGTGCATGCTGATGCCCTTCACCACACTGTGGTACGGGGTACTTTGTTTTTGTGCATATGTTTGTAACGGGCAAAAGGAAGCGAGATAGACCCATGGTTCATTTTAAGAATATGAATAGAATCAATTTCTGAGTCGATTTATGCATGGCCGTCCTTCTGTCTGTTGATGTTAAATTGTAAACAAACTATTGGTCGCATTTACAATCCGATTTAGATGAGATTTGATACAGCTAATTTATTTGGGCCAAAGGACAACCCCATTGAAATTGGTGAAAATCGGTTCAGGTTTAGATATAGCTCCCATATATATTTTCGTCCGATTGTTATGCATATGGTGCACCACAGCCCCTATATTTCTTTCGATTTGGTCGAAATTTGGCGTAGGCTACTGAATAATATCCAGAATGATGTGTGCAAAGTTTCGTGAAAATCGGTTTAGATTTAGATATAGCTCATATATACATTTTCGTCCTATTTAATAAAAATTGTGCACCAAAGTCGCTATATATCTTGCGATATGCTCGAAATATTGTACTGAACTGAGTCTTGATGCTGTGAGCGAAGTTTCGTGAAAATCGGTTCAGATTTAGATATAGCTCTCATATATATTTTCGTCCAATTCATATTCAGTTGTCCCTGTCCGACTTTAATCCTTTCCTTACAGGTTTAAGATTTACTGAAAATTGGGCAGGTTATTAAGGCCCTTGTTTTATCATAGCCCCCCTTAAAAATATGAAAACTCATTTTAGGGTTAAAAACGATCTTATTCCGAGTTTGTATCAATTTTTCCCACTAGATGTATGTTGAAGTTCCTAGCACAGATTTCCAACTTGAATGCCAGTAGTTTAGTATTTTCTTCTATATGGCTATCATTTTCATTCGCAACTTTAAATTCACCTTCTAAAAAAGTTGAGCACAGGCGTGGCGTTTCTACTTACCACTGTTAATATTTTTAAAGCTACCGGGAATTGGATGTACAGAATCTTGAAATGTTGTTACATCGAATTTTTCTTTAAGGGCAGTTGGACCAGCGAAAACTTTTTCCATCTCCGAGTCCAAGTGTACTTCATTGGGATCTTCATTGCCAGAGGACTGAAAATAAAAACAAGTAAGAAATAACAAATTATTATTATTGTTGTATAGGTTTAATGATAAAGTTGTAAATGTACATGTACACTGTGCAATAATTTTAAATTTTTTTATTCGATAAAATGTTTAAAAATAAAAGACATGTTTCGGTAATTTTTCCATTTCCAAGGATACGAAATCCTTGCATATTAGGGGATTTATTAAGAGGATTTTTATTTAATACGTTAAGACGACTGTCTGATGGGTCTTTTATATCAGGTCAGAATATTCTACGAAATTTTTCGTCATAATGTTTTACTATAAGTCTCAGAATAGTTTAAAACTCGGAAATCAGCCCAAATGTCAAAAAAACTTAAAAATATGAAAACTCATTTTAGGGTTAAAACCGATCTTATTCCGAGTTTGTATCAATTTTTTCCACTAGATGTCATTTCAGAAAGATTGTATAAGGTACATACATGTTCTCCATGTTCTAAATTCTAGTATAAGTCATTGAGCATTTGCATATTTTGTTTTTGCAAAAAACAAAAACGACAAAAAAATATAATATATATATATATATACCGAATACACATCATAGCGTATAAATTTGCCTTTATATAATACCCTTTACCACGTTGGTTATATTCTACATATGTATCTTATCAATTTCATGTCTAATGTTCCTTCAAAGGAAATTTAACGAATTTAAATAAGTGATCTTTATCCATAAGTGAACAACTCCACATGCCTTTCTGCAGCCTATGCTAAATTTTATTTCATTCCGGCAGATTTAGAGTCGTTTGCGTATTTATGTAAATCGATTCAAAGTATTCGATATGTCGCAGTATTCAAAATTTAATCTCAAGCAGACACCCGTTCGAAATATATATGGAAGATATGTCTGCATCTGCACCAATTTCAACAGAACACAACTAACTACGTTGCACAAAATTTCGCACCAATTACCAAAAATCGTACGAAAATATATATGGGAGCTATATGTACATCTGAACCGATTTTTTCCAACATCCATAGGGTTCGTCCTTGGGCCAAATACATGAGCTGTGTCAAGTTTCATCCAATTCCGATCATTAATGCTACCTGTACTCTGTTTAAAATTTAACATGGACAGACGGACGGACGAATATGCGTAAATCGACCCAGAAAGTGATTCTATGCATATTCTCAAAAGAAACCATGTGTCTATCTCTTTTCATTTCGCCTGTACCACAGTGTGGGGAAGGGTATAGAAATTCACTAACATTGTAAAGTTTTATTACAGATGGAAATATAGAAGTACTGCTCCGAAATTTTAAAATTTGAAGTAATTTGTTCTAAAACGTACTAAATAGTGTAATACGGAGCAAGGGATAAAAATAGGATTGTGACATTTAGCATGCAACTTTGTATATAACGACGCACGGTGTCACGACCGCGGCCAAAAATGGTCAAAACCAAGTACCTCGGAGGACAAATTTTTTGATGAGGACTGATAGAAAATACTCCAATTAGAATAAATATGAAATTTGATATCGATATGTCGAGTAGTTTTGTCTCTACAAAGGTTCAAATCTGATAATTATTTATAAACTGATTTTTTACCATATTTTCCAAATATGGGTGTGTTTTTCTGATGCTCAAATATTTGAATATTAAAATTAACGGTTATTATAGAAGTGTTTATTTTGGTTCCTGTGGATGTTAAAAACTAGGATTCGCTGTAGTTTGTATGTATATAGATATCATATGGTGTATACCATGGTACAATTATAAAAGGTAACAGCAAATCCCAGCTGATTTGATTCCAACGTAATACTAGTGTCAATATGAATTTGACAAATTATGTTTTTAAAAATCACCCAACAGGAAAATTGAGAACGCATACAATTTGAAATTGTTCTTTATTAATGTGCTCCCGTATTCAATTTACTCAATCTGCCTGCTGGGAAAGTTTGAGGAAGCAAATCTTTCTTGAAGGAATAACTCGCTATTTTCATATGTGTTACACATATATATGGCAATGGCTCAATTAAAGGAAAGATGTGGAAGCGATAGAAATATAAATTTGATAGATTTTCATTCATGTTTTCCAATTTTTATTTTGAGGATTCGAAAATATTTCATTTTCAAAATAAAAATAATTTGATGATAATTTGTTTGTTTGTTTACAGTTTTCTGTCAAATGAGTTGACACTAGTAGAACTTTCAACAACAAATTTCCATGTGGCTGTTGTATCGTTTTCTGTACAACAACACTTGCTGTTACCTTTTATTATTATATACCATGGGTGTATACAGTCGTCCACACTTGTACAGTTCATCAAATTTGTAAAACAAATTTTGAAATTAGTGGATCAGAAAAAAAGTTTCAAAAAGTTTCGCTCTAAGTATACCCTACACAACTTTGTTGTCAGGGTATTATAGCATTGTGCAGCCCCAAGAGTTTGTAACGCCGCGAAATTTTGGTAGACCCACCTTTAAGTATACCGATCGTCATATCTCGACTAGCTCAATCGATCTAGACATGTGTGTCTAGATCGATTCACCAATGAAGACCCCTATTGTTTTTGGTAAAGATCAGTTAATATTTAGGGGATGAAATGGACCAAATACTTAATTTTTGTCGGTTTTTCTGGTCGCACCAGAGGCCGCAATTATGGCCCAAACATCTCGAATTTTTACATGAAGAAGGGAATTGGGCCAAAGAATAAGCATGTCTGTTTTGATAAAGATCGGTCAATATTTAGCGGGCCAAATGGAACCTGACTTTTGTGTGAAAAAATTACAAAATTTGTATTCTACAGCGTATATATTTACTCCTGTAGGACATAGAGCCGAGAAGTTGATAGTATATCCAAGATGACTGATTGCCCTTTAAATTGATACAAATTATATTGTCGTATGTACTCGAATGTGGGGGTTATACGTAAATATTTACAGGTACTTACGTATTGAGATATTATTTAATAAACCATTACCACACTAGAGGGCGGAAATATAGCGCGGATCGCGGACCACGCCAATAATTTTCAGTGATGATCAGATAATAATTTTGGGATGAAGTGGACCGAAAACTTATTTTTTGTGTTTTTTTTCGATTCGATCTATAGGCTACAATTATAAGCCGAACATCACAACACAACCCACGGTAAAGGGAATATGGACAAGTAATTAGAAGGGCTGTGCTGAATATTGGTAATATTCGGAAAATATGTCAGTGTAAGGAAGAGGTGCTGTTGACCTCTAACCGGGAAAGAGGGTGCAACTATCACGAAATATATACAAATTCGCAAAAAGAGTTCTGTGGTAGTTGTGTAGGGTATCGTATGGTAGGCCCCGTCCGACTATACTGCTCCGCTCACTGTTTTTTTTTATTTTAGTTGTGAAAAGTGTGTTATTTAAGGAATAAAAGGAATTAGCTGCGGAGACCTGCGTTCCTAAGAATCATTTATCTTTTTTGGTGACCACCTTATAAAAAATATGGCATATTCATGAAATGGTTAGAAGCGAATAGTCCAATATGTTTTGTATACAATTAAATAAGTTATTGAGGGCCAAATATGAAGGAGAAGATGGATTCAGAACATAGTAATCATACAATATTTTACATAAAATTTGCAATTAAGTGGTAAAAACGTTATTCGAAGCGGATACATGGGAAAATTGCCAATTTTCATTTGAATTTGGTTGAATATTAAATATTTTATAGGCCAAAAATGATGACATTCTCAAGGCCCATTATATGGGAGGCATACCAAATCTTGGTCCGATCTATACAATTTTTTGTCAGTTGCTCTTTAGTCCAATAATAAGCACATGTACAAAATTTCATTAACTTACGATAACTCCTTCTATTTTTGGCCACTGTTTATATGAACTCGCGACATAGTGCGACGTAAGGAGGCAATTTTTTCTCGAAATTAGTTCTAAAAAGTAACAAATAGCTCATCACGGTAGAACGGCCACTATTAAAATTTGGTATGTAGCTTTAACTATGATATTTTTTTTTTTTGAAAATTTAAACTACCATTTTCTCAAAGCTTCAGAAAAAAACCCCACATCGAAACAAATATGGAAACAAATCTAATTCATACAATTTTGTAGTTGTTAATGTTTTAGCTCACAGGCAAAGTATTATCTGTATACAGCCATGTCTGCATATAGTTAATCCCCTATATAGTGAACACCACGATATAATGCCCACAATTTTTTAAAAATATATTATAAACAGTACAAAGAAGTTCTAAAGGTAATTTCAGATATGTTTTAAAGTCAAACACTTAATAATGTCAACAGGCCTTGCTGAAATTTGTTAATTATATCCAGAAAAAATATATATAATATATATATATATATACAAGTACTTCTCGTATTTATATTTTTTCTCTTATGCGTCTTTCCTTAAGCAAAAATCAATAAACCGCGCTTTCTTTTAAACGAATTAAATTGTTTTTTAAATTCATTCAAAATATCAGTTTATAATTAAGTGATATTTTCAATAAAACGGTGTGAACACATTCGTGCATACATTACCAAACATAAATTTTCCAACAACATGATATTTTTCTGTTTAACAATACCAGTTCTAGGAAAAAATGTTTTTTTTTTTGTGTTGAACATTATAATTTGTTAACTATAGTTATTATTTGAGTATACTGTAGTGGATTTGCTGTATACCACTTATACTTAATGTATAATAAATTACTGTGTCACATTTATCGTCGTTCTTCATTTGAAAATGTACTGAATTGTGTATTCCATTAGAAAACTATACTAATGGAAAACATTATTTGAAACAAAAAGTTTAGGTCTTAACATTGAAATTAATGTGTGTCTTCTTATTTAACACTAGAAAGACTTGAATTTTATATATACCTATATTGCCTAAAATCGGTCAAAATGACCTCATTCTGAAAGAATTTTTATTGTGTAAAGAATTTTTTAAGTTATTTTTTTATTATTTTTTACATTATTTACAATCATACAAAATGTTATTATTATTGGCTTTCGGTGGGAGAGTT